ACATTGCCCCTAAATAGTTAGGCTAGGAACAATCAATAAATATAAAATATCGTTCAGGTTCAACATTGCCACTTTGTGGCAGGTCACTCCAGCTAAGTTTTTTGGCCAGATATTCTGTAGACGAAACTCTCAAAGTGTGTATTAGACTATTACGTTTTAAAATGTATCTATTTTACGTATGGAGTAGCATTTTTTTAATGCACACCTAAATAATGTCTATTCAGTCTTACCTTGAAAAGATCCAAGTTATAGCGTTCGGGGAATAAGACCGCTGGTAAGGAATTCCACTTTCTAGCCGCTTGCCATATAAATGTGGAAGCGGAACGTTTCTTGCGAATCCTGGGAACATCCACAACATAGGGGTGGAATCCCAGCCCAAGTCTAGTCCCCCTATGATAGAAAGGGAAAGGCTGAACCATATTATGCAATTTTATCGCACTCTTAGTGACATATCCTGCAAAATACTGATAAGCAGGCAACTTTACGGCGGTGTTCAAGGCTCTGCAGCATCACCTCAACTAATTCCGAGTCACCTATAAGACATTTGGCACGCTTGTCGATTGAATCCAAGTTGTTGTATTTAGCAGAGCCATTCCTTAAGTGGCAGCAGGACTACATACACGACCGGACTTGGCTTGGTACAGCTGAAGCAACTGTCCCGGTGTGAAGTAACGCCTCACCTTGGAAAGGATGTCAAGCTTCATGGCTGCATTTTTCATTGCATTTGCCGAAGTTCAGATTGGACGACAGGTCCATTCCAAGTAGCTGGAGACGGTTTATGTACTAGAAGCCATCATCAATTACCATAAGTAATCCCTTCGTGTATTTTACAAAGAAGCCATCATTTGTTTCTAAGTTTGTGTGTACGCAGGTATATAACCATATTCGGAAGTGAAGAACATAATGATCGGAAGTGTTATGTCACAGCATCGCGCTATTGTGTATTTTAGTGATGGGCATAATTCATATCGATATGTGTAATATTTTTATATCGCTAATATCGACATTGATATGGATTTTTACTATTTCGTAATTTTTATGTTTAATCGACAACATCTCAATCATTCGTGGCGTTACCATTGTCACTTACTTTTTTTTCGACAAACCACACTCACTGTATCCACGCGTGACTTCACGTGAGAATATAGATGAAGCAACAGCAATAGAGATGAAGGTAGTTGTAGATAGCGAAATAGGGTAGACGGAAATGTCGGTTCTTAAGCTCCTGGCAAGTCAACTCGTAACTACGGAGCGTTTTTAGGGGAAATTAGAAAAAAATCATACTGTGGTAAACAACACATCTGGAATATCTGGGCCATATGCTGAGAAACCCAAAGTACGACCTATTACAAGGCAAAACATAAGGAAAGAGACCTCTCTTAACGTAGGAAGAAGGAGAATATCCTGGCTCAAAAATTTGCGCCAGTGGTTCAACAAGAGCACCCGATCATTATTCAGAGCCGTAGTGTCCAAAGTTCGATTGCGATCATGATCTTCCGACCTTCATTAGAAGATAGCGGATGAAGAAAAAGAACTAATAATCATTTAGTGAATAAAATACATCTTTTTTAGAATTTGAATTTAGAAAGTAGAGTACAGTCGTTAACTTATCGACGGTATGAAAGATGTAGAGTTCAACCTAATTTGACCCTGGAGTCAGGGCAAAAATCAATTTATATTACCTATCTTTAATTCATGTGTTAGGTTACGTAAGAACACAATACGCGAACATTAAAAACACGAACACTTGATAACACGTGCGGCGGCAGAAATAGTAAAGATGGTATTACTTCCGTTATAATATAGTCTAATATCGAGTATATAATCAGAAATAGAGACGAAATATGGGCCATCCATCCCTGGCAACTCATCAGGCAAATGGGCCTTATATCACTTTTAAATATCAACTCTCGTTTGCGCTGAAATCACAAATTAGAATGCAGAAATAGTACAGCGCCAACAACTGACCTGTGTGTACGTCTCCGTATATTCCAAAAATATTCTATATTTATTGTAATAAAGATAATATCTCTAACAATGGGCGCTGTTCCATTCGGTTGTGTGGGAAAAACAGCAAAACATCTAATTACAAAAGAAACGGAATCACATTTCATCGGTATAAATATTAAATACATAATTTTTCAATACTCGTCCATTGTTGCAAAGCTCAAGCTAAACTGGTCAATGTGAAGTGAAACAATTGACGACACCCGTCATTTGTTTCGATTCGGGCTAGCCAATCGGAGCGCAGTTGTCATGGTAATGACATGACAGAATAGCTTTCAAACAAATTAAGTGGGTTGTTCCATTCGGTGGTGCGCGAAAAACAGCGAAACGTGTAATTACAAAACAAAAGGAATCACATTTCATCGCTAATTAAATATTAAATATGTAATTCTCGTCCATTAAAGCAAAGCTCAAGTTCAAATGGTCGATTTGAAGTGAAACAATTGACGACACCCGTCAATTGTTTCGATTTCGACCCGTCAATTCAGGCTTGCCAATCGGAGCGCAGTTGTCACCGTAATGATTGGGCAGAATAGTTTTCAAACAAAGTACTTCCCTAATCGAACTCTTGCACAAGGACCTCTACTGCTATTTAATAATATTGAAGCAGACTTTTCTAAGTAAAAACAGTCACAAATACCTTTGAATGATTACAATTTCCTACTAATACTAAAAGCGACACAGTCCTCATTCATTTTACTTTATTGCCAATTATAAACAAATGCAGTTTAGTTTTAATCTATACAATTTATCTTCTTAACTTATCATTATCAGTCAGTGATGATACCACGTAACTGGCCGTGATATAATATCCTTAAGAATGTAGTTTAAACTAGTTTTAAGATAGTCGTCAACTTTTCCAGTCTCATATACTGTTATATCACATGAAATTATCACTTCTAACTAGCAGTTAAATATGTAATGAATTTTCCGTAATACATTAATCTGTTAATGTGTTATGTCGTATGTATTTCTGCAGTAATGTGAGCATTACTGCATTATGGCTACGAAGGTTGCTGGTGAAATTATTATTAATACTCAACGAAAATGCTAGCATTTTAATAGCAACAAGGCATTTCTTTTTGGAAGAACTGTTGCGGAGATCATGCCTGAGGTAAAAAAACAATCATAGGCAAATAACAAACTAAATCATAATATTATTAAAGCGTATAAAATCACACAACATGTTAATAAAGGGAGAATACATATAAACAAGAAGGGCTTTAAGGTTAATAGGACGGGGAACATAGGGTAGATGGAGGTCATACAAGGGCGAAGTATACTGAAGAAATTACAGGCGCATTGGACTTTGAGTAGCACAGATCACTAAGTGGCCCTACAACTATTATGGATAGGGGTAACCTATCAAAAAACTCGAATTTTGTTCGAATTTTCATTACACCGAAAGCCGAATTATAACGAAACCGTTGTTCTTTCAAAATATGTTGGATGATTACCGCAAAGACACGATTAGGTTCGGTTAGATTAGGTTAAGTTAAAACATTTTCCTCTTTAAATTACTTTCGAGGTTGTGAAAATTCAAACAAACGTAAGTTTTGGAAAATGTCATTTCGGAATACCAGTAGGTAACCATGGATAGGCATGCCGCTTACCACCTGGCAATTTGTTGGTCCCGCCAGGTTGATATCATTAAAAAGTCTTAAATGTGTTTATTTCCATAAATTACAGAAGTATTAACATGATTGAATTGTGGATTACTTACTGGGTGGGTGTGGGTACTTGGCAATCGACGACTCTTGACTTTTAAACTAGGTGAACCTGTATATGTTGTATCATTCTTCATATCTTCTCCCAGGAGTGTTTTAAGCGCGAATTCTCAGAATCCCATTGCTTTTGCCAAAATTGTAGAACGATCGATTTACACCACTTCTCTGCAGTAAAAACCAAGGGCGTAATGTCGTCTGTCGTCACCCTTGTGAAACTCTGTCAACTATCTTCTTTTTTATGCTTTTGCTTAGTTTTAAATAACTATTTGTTTTTGTAAGAGACTTTCATGGTTAGCTACTGCTTACACTTTTGTTTTTGTAACTTACTTTTACTCTGCAATAATTTATTGTGCATGTAGTTTCGGTCTATAATATAATACATTTACATTTTGCGTTTAGTATTTCTCTGGTATGGCAGCACTACAGCACTACAGTCGCGACGTATATTTAAAGAAAGCAAACCATTATGAGAACTTATTTTAAAACTTTATTTTATTTATATAACTTGTCAACCATCAGTATTCGCATATTTATCGATAACTAATACGAGACGACTAATATTTTAGCGTATGAGGTTTAGTCTAGTAGTTGTATATTCCCACACGAGTCCCATCACTAGTATCAACAATGCAAGGTCTCAATTCACTCTCTCAGAGCTACATTAGCATAATAAGTCTTGTTGCAAGGACAAAAAGTCGACAATACTTGAATTTAATAATTTCGAAGTGTAAAAGTATTTCGACTCTTCCGCAGAACAAAGATCTATGTGCAAGACTACTTGTTCTCAGGACATAGTACATTTCGTTCGTTCTTCGTCGCTGCGGATGTCAGATATTTGTTCATTTTTATATTTCCGAAAGTAAATAAGATTTATAAATTCTCAAAACACCTTTAGATAGGCCTTAGTTTGAATAACGAAATCTTTCTCGTAACGTACTTATTCTCTTTTCGCTATATAATCACATCGGACTCTGTTCTTCGGATGCGTCGATTTGATACTTTTTTTCTTTGGATCTATAACTATATAGGATAGGTTAGTGAGGAAAATTATTTCCTTTCAACCAGAAGTTCATACATAAGTACGCCTTGCCAATTCCCTTATAAATCTGCTCAACATTGCTACAAAATATTTTACACAAGTAACTTAAAAATGAATGTCATTCATCCATATTTCCACAATTTGACCTGTCAACCAGTAAGGAACCAACCATTTTCTTTATGCCACTTCTTTGCCAGTTTATTTACTTGTTATTTGTCTTGTTTCAGGTTATACTGGCACAATGAAGCGAGCTCGGCATAGATGGACGGGTGTCAGTATACTATGTAAGTATCATCATCTTACTTAAGAGCCAGACTCTTGTCAGTGTAGCCTCCACCTCATGGTTCCCAGCCAGTTCCTTGGCCCCCTTGTTCACTTTGATCTTGTTTTTTATTTGTTCACTTCTTCTTCTTGTCAACGCCAAAAACCAGTAGAAAACCTGCGTTTTATTTCTTTAGCCCAATAAGCAGCCTCTATCTATTTGTTGTCTTCTAGAGAGCTAATAGAGGATGAGCTAGATATCCTCCTGTCTCTCCAACTTAGGTTATTGGGAACTGGAGAAACGCCGTTTTTTGGCGTCGGGAAATGAGCGTGCTTTACAGCTCCGCTACCAATGAGGAGATTTGATAGTGCACTTTAGAGTCGACGTCTTAGCGGTAGCAACCGCTAGTTGTGCAATGCGTGGTGTACAATACAAGGTACTGTACGTGCACCCGGGTCGACTCACCCAAACCACTAGCCTCTTGAGAACCGGATGAAGTCAGTGACAACGGTCTGTGACAACTATGTGCACTGGCTGATCTGGGGTCAAAACCTGAACTTATAATGTTCCTGTGCAAGCACAGGTTATAGTGCCCTTCTCGTATCAAAACTAATGTAGAAAGATGATGAATTGTGGGACCAATTTGGAAAACGAACATTTCTAAAGTGGTTTTGGCCAAGGTGTTCTAGTAATGCCCCCTCTTTAAATACTTTTATTTTTGTAAGAAAGAGAAATTATAAAAAGTCACGTAACAATAGGGTGACTATTGTACATACAGCAAAGTTTGAAAACAAAGCTTTTCAATCAGTGCGTTCTACCTGTTATGACACACGGAGCCAAGACGTGGACACTCACGATATGGTTAGTTCACCAGTTGAAAGTCGGTCAGCGAGCTATGGGACGAGCTATGCCCGGAGTTTCTCTGAAGGAACGAGGTTATCTGACAGAGGACTAAGGTCGTCGACAAGGTAGAACCAGCAAGCTGAATTGGCAGTGGGCTGACCACATCTGGGGAAATGAGTGGAGACCACGGCTCGGAAAACGTAGTGTGGGATGCCCTATGGCCAGATGGAGTGACGATTTGCGAAGAGCTGCTGGCAGCACATGGATGCAACGAGCTGAGGACCAGGCGAAATGGCGCGCATTGGGAAAGGCCTATGTCCAGCAGTGGACTACGATAGGCTGTTGATGATGATGATGACGTAACATTAGTTGTTGTTTATGGTGTTAGTATTAGAATTTTACGAATGTATGCGACCTTATATAACTTGTCGAACTTTTGTACAAAGTGTAAATTAACTTTGATGGACAGACGTATTGACATTTTAAGAAGCCTTGACATCTCTTTCAAATCATATTTGTTAACTAATGAAATGATGTCACTGGTGTCCAAACACACTGACTTTAACACGAAAACTTGTTTAGAAATTAATCAAGGAAAAATATTCTTGCTCTAAGAGAACGGTTGATTCTCATTGGAACGAATTCCTTATGATTTTGATTTCTAATGTACGTATGTACATTTGTCAATAGTTATTAGCAATAAGATCTTTCTAACGCTGAAGGAAAATGTCGTGATAAAACTTTTGTTGTAGACATTTTTAACCGACTTCAAAAAAGGAGGAAGTTCTCAAATCGATGTGTTTTAAAAAATATATGTTACGGAATTATTACGGCATTAGTGAACCGATTTTGATGATTCGTGCTCCTGTTGGTAAGCGACACTCAGCGCTTTAAATCGCAATGATCCGAGGCACACTGCCTCTACGACCGTCACCCTGTTGACGAAAAAACTCTGGACGAAAAAACTTCCTAAGTTTTGTTTGTCAAAAAATAACTGTTTATCAGGTTAAAGTTACAAACGAAAGTTAGTCAACCTGTTTCTTTTAAACGCACTATTACGACGGCATAAGGTTGATTTATCTACTAAGTTCTTATTAGCCTTGAAATTATAGTTTATGGATTATTATTTTAGTAATTTATCAATATTAATATATTCAAATTAGATATTATACACTTTGACATTTGATCAATTGAACCGGCGTATATTTCGTATTAAATAACATTGGTTAATTTAGAATTCTATTTAGGATTATGATTGGTTAACAATGATTGATAGCAAACTGTTAATGCGCAAGGGTCGCCCAAGGCGAACTTCCCGCGACCAAATCGAGGACGTCCTATTGCGTAGGCCACACCACGATCGAAGCTTTTTTTCCTGGGATACCTCTCCGGCTAAAACCTCACGGTGGCCTACTCGGGTGCTCTAGTGGGAGAGATCCGGGATCGAATAAGCGCACCAAACCCCCGCAGCGTCTCGGCCGTCCGCTAACAAAAACGCGGCTATGTGAGAAATGGTCAAATAACCGTTTTAAATAGCAAAAAATAGAGGACAAAATTCTCTTTTAAAAAAAGATAAAAATAGGAGAAGTATCATCAAACAATTTCAATGTTCTAAAACTGAGTTTCATGGTTTCTTATGATATCTCAGAATGTTATTTTAATTATATTAATTAGCGGACGGCAGACCTGTGAGGAGCCACGTCCTCGTCCTCCTCGCGGTTGCAAACTTTACTGGCAAACGGAGCCCCCGCTCCGAACGCCCGCAGCCGCGAAGGGTTGCCGCCGCCGAGCGTGGTCGGCCCTCTCCCGCTCGGCGACCTCCTTCTGAAGCATCACCGCTTCACAGAACATGAGGCAGTGAACTCCGCCTTATGGGACTCTTCATTCGCCAGCATATCCGCTACTTGGAATTGATTAATTAACGATTCTTTTATGTGGAACTGTATACGTTTTCATAATAACATTCCGGAGAATATATTAAAATTATCATTTCCTAAGTTTAAAAGTATTATAATTGAAAATTCATGTTACAAAATTGAAAAGTATGTTTTAGATAAAGAAATATGGAAAGACAACAAGAGTCTAGATTCCACACAATTATGATTCAAAGTGTATTCCATAGCATTTAAGTTTATTAGAAAAGAGCAATCCCTAGAGTTTCTTGCTCGTTCGTCTCAGGAAGGCCAGCGTAGTGAACGAGCAATAGCTTAAAAAGTAGCTTAAAAAATGACGGTTACATGCATTGACTTACAAATAAATGGACGACGGGTCTAATACAAAAACCAC